AGGTTCTGGTGGCACTTCTTCCTGGTTTGCAGATGACCTTCATTTGAAAGGTGGTGATCTTGCTGTATTTGATTTGGCAGAGAGCAGAGAGAGGGAGTCTTTGAAATTAGTCAGGTTTATCTATTTTCTTCTTTCATTGTTTGCACTTTAGATGATGTTAAATCTAAGAGGCAATTATCTAAGCTAATGTTAAAGAAGTTGTTCCATCATTTTTTTGTAGTTAGTTGCTTCAAAGTACATTTGGATCTCTTTGCTTCTCATTCTTTTTTTTTTTTTATTAAAACAATAAACTATAAGGAACTGTGAGGAAACAAGTCTTTAGATATGACACCAAAATAAAGTTCCAATGCAGAGCCTTCATCTACCAGGGAACAGATAAGTGAAATGCCACTAGATTACTGCAGAAGTACAAGTTACATTTCTAGCCCAGAATGCAGTGGGAGTCACTGACCAGTCATCTAATCTGTATAAGTATCCTGGCTTCCTTGGCGGCATTTTGTGGGATTTGAGAGCAGGAGGTCCAAAGTAGTGACTGGGGTTGAATAGCTGGTCCAGGCAACTTCATGAACACTGTCTACAGAAGAACCTGGCTGATTCCTAGAGCTTCACCTCTGCCAGGCCTTATGGTAGCATGGCTAGAAAAAAAGGAGACACTTAGATTTATTAATAAGACTGGTGTTTGGCCATACTGAGGAAAAAGATGAAATGGCTAAGTCCAGTATTGGAATAAGGTGTGTGAAGACATGAGCTTGGAAAGGCAGATGGAGTGAGATCATGGAAGGTTCTGTTAGGTGTACATAGGAGCTTTGGTCTCATGCCTTACACAGTGGCCAGAAGGTAATAAGAGTATAGAGAGCATATGACTTCCATGATGGATGATAGGTTGGAAAGAACAAGAAAGATAGGGAGAGATATATATCACCAAAGGTTGAGCTGGATAATGATAGCTAACATTTGCCATGTCTTTACTATCAGCACATCTCTGTTCTAAGTGTCTCAGATATTTAATCAGTCTGACAATAACTATAAGATAGGAGCTATTATTGTCAAGCCCAATTAATTGGGAGGCTGAGACTTAAGAGATGAAAAAGTTGGACTGGAGTCCACCATTATCGTGTGACAGAATCAAGACAAGAAGAAGCTGGGTACTTTGTTGTGTGTTCTGAGACCCAGCTCCTAACCATTTCAGGAGACCTGTAGGTGACTAGGTATGACAGACATGACAGGCAAGTTGCTCAGGTGATGCTCTGATTCTAGTTGGTAAAGCTGGTTGAGTGGTACACCTTGGACAAAGGCAGGATGGTGGAAAGAGGGCCAGAGAAAAGATAAAGTAATTTGAGGCTTTAAAATAGAGTCACTCATTGATGCCATCATTTAGAATATGTGGTAGTATGTCAGGTAGTATTCTGGGGGTTAGGGTAAAGCAAGTTAAAAATGACAGACTCCCCCCTTTCTGCCGCCCCCCCCCCCAGAGTTTACTTTCTAGAGGAAAGACAGCAAAGGCACAAATAATGCATACTTGGCATATTTAGACCATTTTAAGTGGGGCCTTGGAACCTGTGGGCTGGGGAAATGACACTCTCGTTGGAAGTTCGCATTACAATTTAAACACCACATTCTGGCTTACAGAAAAGTACTATGGTGAGGTCTGTAGGGGTCTTGTTGTGGCTTGGAGCACCTTAGAGAAGACAGCTACTGAGAGGAGCCATCTAAGGAGCCACAGTTACAAGGACATCCTCAGTTCTCAAGATGTGGAGCATGAGTAAAACCCCTCTGAGGATCTCCCCTGACAAGTGAAACATGGAGTGTTGTGGGATATCCAGCCATTCATGGCTGAGACAGGGTGTTAGTGGTCCCCTGGCTGGAGGCTCAACATATCCTCTCATTAAGTATTTGCATATTCTTCTAATGAGGAAAGCTAATGAGGTGAAAATTCCTTTGACAGTACAGACACCTAGTACTATGCTCGGTAATTTTTTAAATGGATTTATGCTCCCTCTTGGCGAGAGACATAAGAACAGGAAAGGGAGGAAGCTCCATCTGGTGTTCGTACATCTTCCTCCAAAGCCTGCACCTCTGGTCCTTTCTGGTGCATCTTTTGCTCTAACCAGGCTGGAGAGTCCAGAATTTTAATGTTGAGCTCCTGCCTGCTGAGCCTCCAAACCTTGTCTGGTTCATTTTTCTCTTGGGTAATGAAGTTCCCATTGACTGGAAATTCACACATTCAGATCTTGCCTCCCTATTCCTAGCATTCAGTTGGTGTCCCGTAAGTGCTGTACTATGTATGATCCATCTAAATAAGACTCTCCTTCTCTTCCCTTATATCCTACTAATGTCTTCCCCCAGCCTTCATTTCTACCCATCCACAATTCTCATTTCATTGCCATTGCAGTCCATGGAAATATCTCAAAAACTTTGAGAACTAGTACTCCTGTGCTCTTCCGTGCACAGCTGTAATGTGTCATCAACTCTAGAAGTGTTCCTCTCCTTACTGCCAATGGTACACCCACCCCAGGAAATGTCCCATGTCAAACCCATGCAGTGAGCAAGAGGGTCTATGCATCCTTGCAGTCAGTGGATCCTGGGCAGTGATTCCACACAGCCAATTACTTCTTTGATTTATTTTCTGTTGTCATCCTTGAGACTCAAGAACCCCACTGGCGCACTCTGCTGCTCCTTGTCTTCATTTTTCCCCTCATAGCTAAAAAATCCTTCTGTGTTTAGCTGTTCCAGTTCCTCTTCCTTGAACATTGTGTCTTATTTGTTTAATGCTACTAAAACAGAATACCACCATCTAAGTAATTTATTTTTAAAAAGTAGAATTGTATTGGCTTGTGGGTTTAGAGGTTGGAAAATCCAATATCAAGTTGCCAGCATCTGGCAAAGCTCTTTTTGCTGCATCATCCCATGGAAAAAGCAAAAGGACAAGAGAAGGCTGGCTTGGGGAGGTAGGGGTGCTGATGTCATTTGATAAAGAAGGAACCCTTTCCTAGGATAGTGATGTTGATCCATGCGGAGCGTTGGTGCCCCGTGACCTAAGCAAATCCTTTTAGTCTCTCCTGTTCCATGTACTTTGGGACACATACTCAGATGATGGCCCTCTATCTCAGTCACATCCTCATTTCAGACTGCCTATTCAGATTATCTTCTGAACACCAGGTCCCCAGCTAGTTCCCTTACCTATCCACATACCCAGTTTGATTATTAAACGACTATGAAGCACAGCTGGGTCCATTTGAACACAACTGGCATGATCCTTGAGCTCACTGAGCTCCCAGTGAGGTGAACGGTAGAAGATAAACAGAAAGCCATGCCTTGCCATGGTTACAGTGGATGCATAGTGCAGAGTTGATTATTAGTCAGGGCCAGACAGGGGTCATCAGGCCAGAACTCTAGCAGCAAAGGAGGGCAGGTAAAATTTGACCCAATCCTGAATGGGAAGGCCAAAGGGAAGACAAGACTAAGCTCTGTAAGAACAGGGGCATTGTTTCAATACTTCTGTCCACCGCATCCAGCTCATTGCCTAACAGATATATGTGTTTAATAATTATTTGCTGAGGAGACCGTGGGAGCAAACCAAACATAGACATGCCCAAGGCTGAGACCAAGAAAATGTCTATGTGTGTACACATACCTAGGACAGGGCCGGGGAGTTGCCACACAGCAGGTCATGCTGGCCCCGACAGCTACCTGAGACCCAGACTGTTTAATTAGATGTTTCTTGCATTGCCTTCTGCACAAACTCTTACCCTTCCTTCTCTGCTCTTGGCTTCCCTACTCTTCATTTCCAATCTAATGCAGCCTGGCCTAAGCCATAGGCATCCCTGACTCTCCACGGAGAGTGTCCCCTCTCCCCTTGTGTCAGACTCACACTTACTTCTTTCCTCCCACACATCCTGCTGACCCGAGCAGGATGAATCCCTTATTCTCTTCATTCCCACAGAACTTTGTGTTCTTTTTTTCCTCATTCTGCCTCAAGCGCAAGTTTACCTGTGGATCCTCTGTTATACTGAACAGTGTGAGGTTCCTGAGGCCAGAGCCTGCTCATTTCCCTCTGTGAATTTCCCAACTGCTTTATTTCTAGTAGATGCTCATTCACAGTACTGTGGATCTGCTGGTTATTATTAGCAGTGGATCATTATTTATGATAGTGCTCCTTGATTGAAGTACTATACTACTCTGTGCTTAGCACATTTTCTATAATATCTCCTATTTATAATTGTCCTGTTTATTCTTGATATGTCGTAAATTGTATTTACTATCACACAGTGGCCTTATGAGCAGCTATTTTCTTTCAGTATTTTATAGCAGGAAGACGCAGCAATGTAGAGATACAAAGAACATGTTCAAGATTGCCACTAATAAATGCCCGAACTGGGTTTAGGCTCCATTGCCACCAGAAGCTTTGTCCTGTGTCAAACTGTTAGGCTACAGCCCAGTAAGCAGTTGATTGGATAAAAGTTGTAGAAATACTAAAACAGTACAGGTTGAGACTCTGTGATGGGTCTCTAGATCACTCCAGTGTGAAAACCTGGCTTTCTTTTCGAGCAGAACAAACATGAAACCCAACTTACTCTTGCTCTAGGGTAGAAGTATCTTGCTAACTGCCACAGCCAGTAGTCTGAAGACCTGGCCCTCTGTGGATGTGTTTCTGCACAAATGCCAATGTAATATAGGCTGGGCAAACTGTTTGCAAGACCTCTATTTCTAAGTTTTACAAAGCCATTGCTTCAGTACCAAGTACATTGGGTATTGACAACAAGTGACTTTACTGTCTGAGGTGCTTGGTTTATTTTTTCCCCTCTGAAATGCTGAGGTGGGGGGGTGGGGGGATGACCTCTTTCCTTTTCAACGCCAACATCCAGGAAGCACATGCCTAATTTATTTTCACCATTGCCGTTGGAAAACAATCCTGATTCAGCAACTTGGAAATGAGTGTGCTTTTGCAGCTGGAATCAAAGGCCTTAATTCCTGGACCTCCTCCTCTGTCCCTCCAACAGGCGGAATCCTCTACACTTCCACCTCATTGCTGACTCCATTGCCGAGCAAATCCTGGCCACCCTTTTCCAGACCTGGATGGTGCCTGCCGTGCGTGTGGACTTCTACAATGCAGATGAGCTCAAGGTAAGAATGGGAGTGGGTAGGACATGGGAGATCAGACTCTGGTATGCTCCTGATGGGACCTTGTGTTATGTGTAGTTAAGTAGTCTATAGCAATATCCAAAACCTTACCACTTAGCTGAAAATGCCTAAGATGTAACTGGGATTGTCTATTTTTATTACTGAAACCATTAATATAACCACTTCTTGAATACAGAAGCCATGTTCGTCTGTACAGTTCTGGCCCCCAAGGCTTTTCATAGAGACCAGTGGCCTGGGAAGTATCTGAAGTGGTTTCATGGTCAAATCATAACAGGATTCTGTTGCCCAGTGAAGTAAATGAGCTCAGAGTCTGATGGACTTAGCTTTGAAACTATATTGTCATTTACTGGTCATAAAACACAAAGTAAATCAAGTACATCTCTGCCAGCCTACTTTGTTACTACCAGAAGGTGGTTATGATTCCAAATCATGGGATATTTAAGAGAGACAAATGAGAGAGTATATGTGAATATGCTTTAACAGACTATGCTGATTAAATATTAAGGAGAATGTTGTACCAGGGTGTTGAAAAACACTTGGTCATCTCATTCCCTGGCTTCAAAGCCTTCCATTACACTATCTTGAAATCAAAGTTGGATTTAGAAGTTCTATATATGTTGACACATAATTACTTCCTGTCCCATCTCTTTCTCATTCCTGTATATTATCTCTTTTACTTAAGTGTGAGACTCTCTCTCTTACATTTGAGTCTGATCATATTGTTGCTTCTATCCAACATGTCATTCCTACTGTTCTTATCATAATCCTATCCATCCTGTGGGACTCAGCTACATTTTCTCCTTTTGGAACTTTCCCTGCCTTCTCTAGGAAGGAGGAAGAATTTTTTTTCTATTCATTTCCCTTTGGTGGAACTTCCTGTAAGAGAGGGGTAGGAAAGGCGTGGGAAAGACATGAGGTATACTTTTCTGTATTTCTGGAGCTCAGCAGGTGCTCTATTTTGCTTGTGGATTTAACAAATTGCTATTATTAGAGAACATATAATGTTGCATTAAGTTGCCAGTGCTCTGTCTCCAATCACCATGGAAAGAACAAAACACCTAAGCATGAGGCTGATTCTGGAAAATAGCTTGCTCCAAACCTCATAAAGCCATTATCTTTTCATTTCAGAGCCATAACATTTTATATAGATCCTGGAGATGCAGGCCAGAGTTTTGTGATTTTTCACATACTTTAGGCTCTGAGGTTGATCTGGATGTTCAGAATTTAGCATTTGGGGATTGTCATGGTAATTTGCCTGCCATTCCAATCTATTCTGAGCTAAAATTGATTAACACTCTTAAAAAGGGAAAAACAAAATTTAGCAAATTGCTGCACTAATTAAGGTGAAAGCAAGCTATTCTCTCTCGCAGGGTCGTAGTGCCAACACCATGGGGAAAAGCAACATGAGAGAGGTGCAGCAGCTGGCTGGCTCTCTGTGCTCATGGTTTACCTTTCTCTGTGCCTGTCCCATGCAAGCATGTGTCCTCTGCTTATCAAGAAAGCACAGAGTAAGTTAGATTAAGTGACCCAGGTCTATAATCCTAACACTTGAGAGGCTGAGGCAGAAGGATCTTAGTTTAAGGCCGTGGGCTGCACATTTCCTTCTCCTTTGAAACCAAGATGAAGGTCAAATATTACTTAAGACACTTTTAATTTTGTGGCTTGCTATGCCATCTACTGCGCTTTCAGAACTAAAGAGGTAAGATGCCATGGATGCCATGCTTTGACCATGGATGGAAAAGAAAAAGGAGGCAAAGATTGGATTTCAGCTGCCATGCCTACTCTGGTTCAAGCAGACCAGTTGCCCATTACTTGGATTTTTATTCATTTAAAGTAAATGAGGTGTTCATGGCTTTAAAAATACAGTAATCAGGGGCTGGGATGGTGGCTCATTGGTAGAATGCTTGCTTTGCATGCCCTGTATTCAATTCCTCAGCACCACATAAGAAGAAAAAGCCAGAAGTGGCACTGGTGGCTCAAGTGGTTGGAGTGCTTGCCTTGAGCAAGAAGAGCTTGGGGAGAACACTCAGGCCTTGAGCTCAATCCCCAACACACAAACACACACACACATACACACACAATTTAAAAAATATAATCTGATATGATCCTAAAGGGTCTTATTTTCTAACCCAACCTCTACTATAGAAAACACTACAGAGGATTCCTAACACATATATATTTCTCTACTAATTGATCATGGCTATTTCTATTCCTGAATCCTCTGAGACTGTAGTCAGAATTCATTAGGACAGTGAGTTTGAACACGTTACGAAGAACTTTTCCATAGTAATAATTTATGTATTTCCCAACTCAGTATAGCCAAAGCAGTGGTCTATCTCTCCTGCCTACCCCCTACTTGCCACTGCCCTGCCTCCTGGTTCTATCATTCACATAGCTGTCTTCTAGAACTGAGAGCTCATCAGTGATATACGCATCTCCTTCACCCTACATGTAACCATACAGCATCCTAACTTGACCTCATCTTCCCTGCCTTTTCCCAGTCTAAGCTCTCATGATCTTTCCTAGCTTAATGGAAACCTGTTTGTTGCCTAGTCTCTTGACTTCTACTCTTCTTATATTTCCTCTCCAAATCTACAGTTGTCTAGTAGTGATCAGTTTTCCAGGAAGCAAGCCTTCTCTTGCTGCTCCTTACCTCTGGGTAAACTCTCCAGAGGTTTCCCACTGCCTTTTAAGACAGAGACAATCATTTTACATGTGATTTCTTCTCTGCAGTTCTTCAGACTCTTTCTCTCCCATTGTTAGCTAATTCCAAATTCTTTACTGACTGCAGCTATGTCTACTCAGTAAAACTGAGAGCCAGCCTCCTTCCACATCTCATAAGTGTTCCATTGTTAATGCATTCCGATAAGATCACAGGAAACTCATCACTGAGTATAATCTTTCATGCTATTATCTGATGAGCTAGCAAATGTCAGTCCATCCCCTAGACTATAAGTTCCAGAAGGGTCAGAGTCATATCTGATTTTCTATTTTCTTTGCTGAATGACTGTCATCTGGTTATGCAGATGTTTTTTAAGTGGGTGATACACATTGAATTCACACCTGGTCTTCCTGTACGCTGGTGGATTGTGTCTCAGTAAGCCTCCAGGGATTGGCCTACCTGTGACTCTGTACTAACATAAATAAGACAGCTCCGAATTCACCAGCCCAAGTCTTAAGGGCAGTCCTGAGAAGGATGAGTTTATATTTGTTAATTATTAACTTGTTTGCTGCTTTTTGAAGCAAGATCTCACTATGTAGTTAAACTGGCCTTGAACCTTCTATGAAACACAGGCAAGTCTTTTCTTTTTCTTTTTCTTTTTCATTTACTGGGATACCGAGAAGTAGGAAAAACATTAAAACATCAACCTACATGAGATATCAGAGAAGGAAGAACAGGAGGAAATGGACTCAGGCTGTGTTCTGTAGTTGTATTAGCTAAGCATGTCAGATGGTACCAGGCATGTAGGATGGCTCCCCCTGATATGGCTCCAAGAAATTGCTTTGTACTGCTGTTGAAAATGGCGTTTCTCAGAAATGCTCCTGTGGGGCCCTTATTATATCTGTTACTGCTGCAGATGAAGTAATAGGGAATAGGAAATTTATGAGGGATTGGTGCATGATTAAAAATGAACTGTGGGAAATTCACAGTGGACTGATATACTTCTCTCTGTAATGACCAATTAGTGTGGATTTGCAAATAGTGTCGTGCTCCACCCGCCTTTCTTCACAGACTGGGAAATGTTGGTTGGTCTTCCTGAGGTTTGCCTGGCCCATTTATTTTCAGCCTCTAAGTTAGCATATCAACAGGCTACCAGCACTGAGGGTGTCTCTGTGTTCTAAGGTCTGTTCAAGACATGCTGCTCCAAGAGTCCCTAGAGGAAGAAGAAGGGGAGAACTTATTTGGGTTTAGAGGTTTTTAAATGGCAGGATGCTGTCCCTCACTTCTTAGCACAACCTATGGGACAGAGAGAGCTTTGATTATTTCTATCTTACAGATAATTCATAAACTAGGGCACAGAGTTGAAGAATATTTACTTAAGATCAGGTAGCTAATAAATGCCAAGGCTGGTATTTGACTTTCCCCCTTTGAAATGAAATGATATGAGATAGAAGATTGCATAATTCAGTAGACCCAGATGCTGTTTAGATCTGAAGTAAAGGACAGAGACATGAGCTGTAGCCACTAGAGAATGAAAAGGCCCCTGTCATGTCTGTGTGCACTTGAATTGCGGATTTATCTTTTCAGTGACCATGAGCCTCATGAAGTGTGTCTCACATGAGTTATTTAGGTAGCGTGCACTTTGTTTCTTATGTTTTATGTGCTTATCTTCTAAAATTCTCCCAACAACTATATAGAGCAGATCATGTTGTCCCCATTTTTCAGAAAAGGGAACTGAGGCATTGAGAAGTTGGGTTTTGTTTTTAACTCGAGATCCTGCCTTGCTGAATAATCCCATATCTGTCTCCTAAGTTACATTTCCCTTTCTGTGGCTTGTGTAAGTTTAAGATGCTGACTGTAATTCTATGTTAGACAAGGGTCTGCTAAGCTGTCTGCATTGTTCCTTTCTGGCTGTTCTTGAACGTATTAAGCAAAAAGCCTCCATTTAAAGCCCCACTGTGATGAAAGTCAACCCATTCTGTGGTATGCTGGGTGTTAAAATACATCAGATGGTCACATCCTGTAGAGCTTCCTGCTGGTGATAAAAGTGACCCATTGGAGTGGTGCTGCAGAGGGTTGGGATGACCCTGGGTTCCCATCCAATGACTATGTTCTAAACTAAACCATCATCACTCACTCTTTAGACAGTTTGCTTTAAATCAGCAAAACAATTCTTGCCAGCTTTTAGACAAAGCTCTACATGTCTACCAGCCTTTAATCTTACCCCATGGGGCCCAGAAAGTCACCCCCATGCCACTACTAAGGTGCAGATGATACTGAGCTCATGAAGTGAAGCTGCTGGGGCAATGGCTGTTTTGTG